CCCCCCGCAACTAGGGATCTTCTTTTTGTTTGTATGGATTTGCCTCATGTGGATCCCATGTTAACAGAATCATGAAATATACGGCCCTACTGTGCTACTTCTTCCACTTGGAGGAAGTGTTCAGGGTGGCATGTGCTGCGTGTGCCAGTAACCTGTTCTCCTTGCAGGGGATTCCCATCATCTGCCCCTGCCTCCTTGGCTTGTTCATCTGAGGATGGTATTTGTGTCCACCGCGTGGTGACTGTAAGGGTGGCCTCCCTTTGTGGCTTCAGGGAATAGACACACTGTGCACATTCACCTGCAGGTGTTGTTTGCCTTTCTTCTCAGGCACTTGGGAGTGGAACTGCAGGTCTCATGCATTCTTTGATGACTTCACGTGCCCCTCCCGGCTTTCCACAGTGTGGGATTGTACCCTTCTGTAAGGAGGTCTGTCCCTGTGCTCCACACCATGACCAGCACTGACTGTTTCCTTCCCTCCTTCCTTTTTCGTGCCTGTTGACAAGTCTCTACCACTCAGCCACATCCAGAGACCTCTTCATTTGAGACAGGATCTCAATAAGAAGCCCAGCTGGCCTTGACTTTGTGATAATTCTGCTGAGCCCCCTGTAGCTGTGATTACAGGAGTGGGCCGTCTGTCCACCTGCCTCTGTCCCTCTCTCTTTTCTTAAATAGCCTTTGTAATGGGAAGGATATCTCTTTTAGTTTTTTTAATTTTTTATTTGTTTTAATTAGTTATTCATGCATTTATGTTCTTTGATATATCACATGCAAATGGCAGGTACCTTCTCATTTTTCTGAATGTACATGTTCATTTTCCTAATGACTAATCATGTTGTACATTTGGAAATGTGTTTGTTGGTCTCTTGCTTATTTTCTTTGGGGAAATGTCTATTTAAGTCTTTTGTCCATTTTTTCCTTGGTGTGTTTTTCTGTTGTTGAGACATAAGAGTTCTCATGTATGGTGGCTGCCAGACCCTTAGGAGGTGTCTGATTTGACAGTACCGTCTCTCCCTCGCTTAGCCTTTTCCTTTTTGGACACCAGTCCCTAATTTTGCACTTCACCTGTTTCTTGTGTTGCTTGTGGCTTTGGTGTCATATTTAAGACACTGTGGCACAACCGGGGTCCTGTGGACTTGCTGCTATTTTCTTCTGAGGGTCTTCCACTTTAGGCTCTCACCTAGGCCTCAGGTATCTTGGATGTCACACGTGGTGTGAGGCAGGGGTCTGATCTTTGGCAGGTGCACATCCAGTTGTCTTCTTGCCACTTTTTGAGACAGGACACTTTCTCCACTGAGGCCATGTCAGAGGTCAGTGTGGTCATCTCCACACTGATGGTTGTCCTGTCCTTGTGATGGCATCACACTTTTGATGACTGCAGCTTTGTAGTAAGTTTTGCAGTCAGGAAGTGTGAATCCTTCAACTTTTTTTTTTAAAGATTGTTTTTGCTCTTTAGGGTCAAATGAATTTAAGAATTGGTTTCACACAAATTGAATACTGGATTTTTCATTTTCAAAATAGCCTTTGGCAAATGCCATCATTTCATTCTTCTTTAAAGATAAGTGATATTTCATTGTGTGTGTGTGTGTGTGTGTGTGTATGTGTGTGTGTGTGTACACACACAACACATTTTCTTTATCCATTCATCTGCTGAAATGATGGCATTTACCGGTAAATGGAGCTGGAGAATATCATGCTAAGTGAAATAAGCTCATCCCCCCAAAACCAAAGGTTGAATGTTTTCTCTGATATGTGGATGCTAATTCCCACTCAGGTGGGGAGGCCAGGGAAGAATAGACTTTAGATTAGGTAGAGGGAGTGAAGGGAGGAGAGAAGGAAAACAGGTAGGAAGGATAGTAGAATTAAGCAGGTATTATTACCCGATGTACATATTTGACTTCACCACTGGTGTGATTTGACATCAGATACAACCAGAAGAAAAAAAGTTGTACTCCATTTATGCATGATAGCTCAAAGTGCATCCTACTGTCCTGTATAACTAATTAAAACACAAAAAAATAGCCTCTGGGATTTTGTTAAATTCGCTTATCTAGCATAACTTGTTCCCTATGTCCTTTTTGTAACTTTGCTTTATTTTTACCTATGAGGCCGTGTTACCTATGGATGTGGGTGGTCTTCTTTTCCCTCTCCATGGTGGAAGCTTCTGTTTTCTTCGGTGCTCGTAACATGACCAGGACTTCCCAAGAAGTGTCAGGTGGAAGGGGTGGATGCTGGCCTGCATGCCTCATTCCTGTCCTTGCGGGGAGCTGGGTCTGTCAGTCCAGTGTGACCTCGGCTGTGGTTTTCACGCGTGGTCTTCACACACTGAGGAAGTTCCCTTTTTTAATTATGCCACTTGCTTTATCCATTGACCTTTCACATGTCGGCCACTGCTGCATTTGGGAGATAAACCCCTCCTCTCATAGTATAGAATCCTTTTCTAGTTCTTACTGCATCTGTCTTGCTCTGGATTTGGCTTGTTAGCATTTTTGCTGTTTTTTGATTGTTTGTTTGTTTGTTTTGTGTGTGTGTTTGTCTCTATTTGTAAGTCACATTGGTCTGTGATTTCATTTGATGTCTCCATCTGACTGTTGTGATCTTTTGTGTAGTGTATAAGGACTATCGCCTTGAGTGACATTTTAGATTCTTCCAGAAGTGGACCCACGTTTCATGAGGGTCGGTCTGCTCTTGGCTTTGTGTAGTGGAACCCTCCGTGGCTGGTCCAACTGCTAAGGGTTCAGCCTAAGAATCAGTCAGGTTTGCACACTGCCCTGTTCCGAGGCTGTTCTGGCAGCTGGCCAGGCCACATGAACCTACTCATCATCAATTTTCATATCTGTTCATAAAAGAATTTGCAATATGTGATTGTGACTCCTCAGTTCTATGAGGATAGTATCTGTGACTGTCCTAGAAGATTATCCATTTTCCACTATCGTACCATAGGACTTGATGCCTGGTGTACTGATGGCATCCAACCAATATTATTTTAATCATTGATTAAAAATTTAATCAAATTTTTATCATTTACATTATGACGATGAATGAATAATTCTAGAGCTAGTCTGTTACTTAGAGCCCACAGTCACTGTGCTGACTATGTGGTTCACGTGGCCTACTGCTGGCAAACCCCCATGAGTCGCTGCATAGTAGTGATGATCATAGTTTGGGTGCTCCTTCAGTCTTACTGGAATTATCCAAGCTACTCCGACTCAGTCCCCCACATGACAGATGAGGCCACTGAAGCTGTGGGTGGGCAAGTGACCTCAGGTCTCATGGCCACCAAGGGGTAGAACAAGGCCCACACACAGCTGTGCATTCCTTTTTCCTGCCTCGCCTCCCCACTGATGTTATCTAGCTAATGGGCTCAAATACCAATGTCGAGGTGATGAGAGAGGAGGTGACGACCCTCCCCAGCCACTGTCATTCTCCAGGACCTCTCTCGGGGGCCAGCATCTCCAGAAAGAGGAACTCTCTGCAGCCAGTTCTGACTAGACCTACCTCCGCTTAGGGCTGGGATGTGGCTCAGCGGTGAAGCCCAGGTCTAGCACTGCCCCTGGTTAGACCCCAGCAACCTCCAGGGAATGTCCCTGTACCCAACTTCTGCAGCCAGTGAATGACAATGTAAAGACATGGGCATTTGTGCACATGCTCAGACTCAGGCAGGTACGCGCGTGAGCCTACTGCCTGCCCCTCGCCTTTGCACAAATGCAGACAGGCCTCTGGAGGGAGCCTCCGCCCACCTGCAGAGCCTCCGCCCACCTGCAGAGGCTCCCTGAGGAAGGAATCCCACCAGAGCTCTGGGAAATGAGGGAGGGAAGTGGATGTGAGGGAGGTCCTGAGGAAGTCACTGCAATAGGTAGGAGTGCTGGCCTTACTCAGGGAGGCATGGGAGTCTGTCCTATGGTCAGTGCTGGATCCACACCTTGGAGCCTTTCCACACAAGGGGGAAGCAGATCACATCTGTAGCACCATGCAGAGTGTCCTGTCAGACCTTCTCGGTCCTGATTCTTGGCCAGGGCAGGAGGCTGTCTCCATCAGGCTGAGCCCGGCTTTGGTCATTCTCCTGCTGGCCATGGTAGGTTGGCCTGAGCTTCCTGCCGGGTCACTCTCCTTTCCTGTGACTTATGGAATAGGCTCTGAGACCTGTGGGTCAAGAACCAAGGCTGTGACCCACTCTACCAGGTGGATCACTGCCCTAATGCCTGCTCAGGGGTGGTGTGAGATGCAGAGCCACTGGTGACCTTGGGGAATACGTGGACCACAGGACTTTGGGGTTCCAGAATGCAGCATTAGGAACAAAGGGATACCTGCATTCATCATGTAATGACAAAATCAGGGCTATTAGCACATCTGTCACTTTAAACATTCACCTTGTTTTTGGGTGAGGGCATTCAAGATCCTCTATCTAGCTTTTTTCAAATAGACACTCTTGTTAACTGTGGTCACCCTATTGTGCAAGAGGAAGCCAGAACTTATTCCTCCTGACAAATGCTGGACTCACTGACCAACCCTCCCCACCCTCTTCCTGGACACCCCACCTCTGGTGACCATATTCTAGTCGTAGCTTCTATGAGATAAATGATTTCATTATTGCATGTCAGCCAAAAATAAAATAAAGCTCAAAGAAGGAAATGGGAGATTTGCATACTTTGCCTTAAAGAAGATGCTGCTTCTCTGTGGGATGAGACAGAGTGGCTATGATATGTAAGTTCCACATTAGATTTGTCTGCTCTTCTGAAGGCCAGAGGTGAAGGGATCCTGCCTCCTGATTTGCAGAGCCAAGTCCCCTCTGCACTTCTGTGATTGCTAATGAGAAGTGAATGCACCTTGGTTGTATGACAGTGGATTATATTGATATTTTCCCTCCATTAAGGATTACACGTTTGAAAAACTAAGATTTCAATGTAATTTAATGCAATTCAGATATTTACTACAAACCCCTCTTAAGTAATAGGCACCAAATCCAAAATAAATGACTAAGTAAACACTGTCAATTTCTGCAGATTAACCTCCAGTCTACTTGGCTGTAAACATCAGAATCTTTTGAAGTTCCAGTTCCTGGTGTCGTAGAATTGAAATCAAAACCCTCGGGGCATTGAAGAACATGTTGAGTTTATCAACCAATGCTGGGACACATCCCTGCACTCAACAGACTGCTGAGGGAGAGCGAGTGGAGGTGGAGTTCGTGGGAATTGCTCATGATGGGTAGGTACTAGGGAAGGCCCAGAGTCTGCGGGAAGGTCAGGAGGAAGTCTCGGGTCTTGCACAATGAGTTAAACCAGCCTGCCTCTCTCGCCAGTCCTGATACCAGTGGGGGAGTCAGACCTCCCTGTGCCCAGCACTACCAGCTCTGGCCTTTGCACCTCTCGGTTCCTGGCGGTGAGCAGCTGCTGCGGGAAGCAGGCGAGGCAGCACCTCCAGTCCCAGTTCAGTAGGTCACCTGTCACAAGAGGACCTTCCTTGTGCCCGGCAAATGCACGGTGCCCACAGGTCCAGGCAAGTGTCTGCCAGGCGCATTAGAATATGCTTTAGCATTGAGAAACCAGCCTCTACCTCAGAGCAAAGCCTGTCCAAGGAAGGGGGCGTGACCCTTGTCCTTGGAAAGACCCACAGAGCACGTACCCACCCCGCTGAGTTGTTTATCTACAAATAACAGGAGAGATCTGCTGCACCAGGTGTCCCTGACTCAGTCAGGCTAGGTGGGGACCCATAGCAACCCCCTAGCAACCTCCAATCATGAGACAGGGAAAATACCTGGGATGCCAGATGACCCTCTCAGTAGTTTATGGTGGTTGATAACATGTTGGGAAACCATGTACTTTAGTGTGTACACCCCTCGAGGCTTAAACCAATCAGTTCAAACGAATCCCCCTCTTGTACTAACCAATCACCCCTACCCAGCCTGTTTCCGCCAGTGAATGTGCTAATCAATGTTAAGAGTTGTTTTATGATTTTCCCGTGGTATGTGATGATTTGCTAAGAGATGCTATGATGTATGTGAAGTCTCTGCCTTCCCCAAAGAGTGTATAAAACTGCTGAAAACCCTGGGCTCGGGGCTTCTCAGCGTCACCAGTTGCTGTGTGCGTGCAGAGGATGAGCTAGCTTGCAATAAACGTCTTTTTGCTACTTACATCGATCTTGGTCTCTGGTGGTCTTTTGGGGGTCCCGAATTCTAGCATAACAGCATGAGATGAAAACCAACCAATCTTCATTCTTATTCCTCAAACCCGAGCTAATTTCTTTCTTTCATATTATAAATGTAGTAGAATTTAAATTTCGTCAAGCAACATTTAGGTATTTGAAAATAAACATCTAATGTCTTGGGATGCTGGCTTTTCTAATGACTGATTCTCATTTTATTAAACATGCCTTGAAAATGAAATAATTGCATCAGGTTTGGGTTTGGATAGGGAATTTTGATTCTGTTACCTGCAAATGCCAACACAAGGAGGGAGGTCCAGAGGAAGTCACTCCGGCTGGCCCTGCCTGCCCAAGTGGCTGGGTCAGAGTGCCGCAGCTGCTGATGCAGATTTAATAGTCCAAATATCTAGTTTTTTATGGAGACAAATTTTCCAACTAATATTTAAAATCTTAAACATTGTCAATGATATCATGTCAAGATTTATTGATAAGAACATTAATTTCAGCATTATTATAATAGAAAAACTGAAAATACTGCAAAAACTACTTGTTTTTTTGACGAATGATTGTACATTGGGATGCTTTACATCTATCAGTGATGACATTAGGATGTATTTTATAATAATCATCCTATAAATGTAGCATTATGACTTTTTCTCTTTATATCCTTTATTTTATTTTTAATTGACACATAATAACTATACATGTTTACAGGACACAGTGCAATATTTCAATACATGTATGATCAAATTGGGTCAATTTCCATCACTTTCAACATTTATAATTTCTCTGTGGAAAGAAAATTCAAAATCCTCTCTTCTAGCTACTTTGAAATATATAAAACATATCATTTATCCATGCTCTCCTTGTGAAAAAAGCAAACTTCCAAGCTTGTTTCTCCTTCTAGTGTTTCAGCCACCCTGTACCCTCTCTGACCTGCCCTTGGCCTTCCCAGCCCCTGCAGACCACTACTGCAGTCTCACCCGTGAGATCAACTTCAGATTCCACACGGGTGAGACCGCGAAGTACCAATCCTCGGGTGCCTGGCTTGTTCACTTAACACAATGCCACCCATTTGTGTTTCCCCAGTGACTGGTGACAGGAGTTTCTGGCACCCACCTGCTGGACAGTCCTGCCACTTCTTGGAGAAATGTCTGCTCAAGTCCTTCGCCAATTTTTAAACTTGGGGTTTATTTGCTTGTTTATATGGTTAGCTACTGAGTTGAATGAATCTTTACATATTTTGGAATTGGCCTCTTATCAGATATATGGTTTGCAAAGTTGGCTCCCATCCCACAGGTGGGTTGTTATACATAGTGCTCATGATTAATAATAGGGCATTGTTCACTTAACAGTCTGTTAAGAGGGCAGATCTCATGTTACATATTCTGTGGAGGTGCTCAATAATAAAAGCAGAAGAGCACAGACACACAAGGAAATTATAGAGGTGATGGCTATGTGCATTATCTTGATTGTGGTAACAGAAATGGATGTTTAATACAGCTCAATGAATTGCACATGTTAATTATATTCTTCTTTTGTATATCAAGTATGCCTCAATAAATCCAGGAGGAAAGTGGTCTTTGAAAACATCTATGATGGTATGAAAAGACTGTGCAAAGATGAGCTCCACTTTGGAAATATTTGAACAACTGGGTCTGTGCAGGTGCCCACAGAGTTGCTCATCAGAGTACTCACAGCAGGCTGCAGAGGGGCAGTCAGTGTACTCAGGTGATCAGAGAGGGCTGCAAAGGTGCTCATCAGGGTACTCAGGTGATCACAGCAGGCTGCAGAGGTGCAATCAGAGTCTCAGGTGATCAGACAGGGTTACAGAGGTGCTCACCAGAGTACTCAGGTGCTCAGACAGAGTTGCAGAGGTGCAATCAGAGTACTCAAGCGCTCACAGCAGGCTGCAGAGGGGGCAATCAGAGTACTCAGGTGCTCATAGCAGGCTGCAGAGGTGCTCCTCAGGCTATTCAGGTGATCACAGTCAGCTGCAGAGGTGCAGTCAGAGTACTCAGGTGATCACAGCAGGTGGCAGAGGTGCTCACCAGGGAACTCAGGTACTCAGAGAGGGCTGTAGAGGGGCAATCAAAGTACTCAGGCACTCACAGCAGGCTACGGAGGTGCTCATCAGAGTACTCAGAAGCTCAGAGAGGGTTGTGGAGGTGCTCATCAGAGTACTCAGTGGCTCACAGAGGGCTGTGGAGGGCTCATCAGAGTATTCAGGGGCTCAGATAGGGCTGAGGAGGTGCTTATCAGAGTACTCAGGTGCTGAAAGAGGGCTGCAAAGGTACAATTAGAGTACTCAGGAGCTCACAGCAGGCTGCAGAGGTGCAATCAGAGTATTCAGGTGCTCAGAGAGGGCTATGGAGTACTTGGATGCTCAGAGGGCTGTGGGGGTGCTCATCAGAGTACTCAGGCGCTCTCAGAGGGCTGTGGATATACTTGGAGATGGGGTGGTTGCTGGAAGGTCTACCAGGCAGGTGAGGAACGTGTGAGGAGATGGACATGCCAATCACCCTGATTAAATCACTGTAGTGATTGCAAAGATTGAATTTTTATACTCAAACTCATAAAATGATACAAATATTATGTCTCAATAACACATATTGAATTATCATACTCTACCCATAAAATGATATGAATATTATGTCTTGACAACAAAAAATGGCCTAGGAAGTAATGGTCTGTGGGATTATTTTGGGGTAGTAGGATTCTGGAGGTTTTCTTTTCTCTTATAGTTTCTAGATTTTCCCACACCAAGCATATAGTAATTTAGTAAGCAAGAAGCATATCTCACTAGACATCTGGCACTGAGACCCAGGGTGACATGGTAGTGCTGTCAGGGCAGATGGAGGTGATTCTGTCTTTCGGGGTAGCCTTCAATTGCCAGTGGACAAGAGCCCAGACAGAGACCAAGCAGAAATGCAGAGGATTGAGGCCTCATGGTTGGCAAAGCGTCCTGCAGGATGGAGGTGGCCATGCAAGGGAGCAGATGAGGCAGGTGGGAGGCTGGCTGTTCAGTCGGTGGTAGTGGAGCTGAGTACCATCCTTCCCCATCTGGGTTCCAGCTAGTGTGAGATGCTGCATGACCCCCAGGCCTTCCGTGCTGCAGCAGGCCTGTCCTGCAGCTATGGTCTTGCTTAGCGGAGCCTTGGGGACTGAGGAGTCATGTGTGAAAAAGAGGGCTGCCTGAGGTCCTGCACTCTAGCAGGCAGCTGGAGCACTGCCTAGCAGGGTTTCTGACCCAGCCGATCTGAGGCGTGGTCTCAGTGCTGCTGCTGCTGCTGCTCAAGGACCACCCGGCAGCACACCTGACCAGGTGCCTTGTGATTGCAGGACCTGCAGGCATCCCCCAGGCGCCTGTCACAAAGGAGAATGCTGACTCATCAGGCAGAATCAGAATCTGCACCCCGACAGGGTCCTTGGATAACTGGCACTTGTGAGAAAGTCGGCAGTGGAGCTTGGTGTGCTGGTTTTCAGGTATGACTCAAGTGAACCATGACCTGAGCCCAGGTGTGCTGTAGAGGGCTGTAGAGGGGCAATCAAAGTACTCAGGCACTGCTTCTGCCTCATCTTCTCACATTTGCGATCAACAACAACAACAAAAAGGAACAGCGTGAAACTGATGAGATGCAGTCCTTCAGATCCTTGCGTTCTGCCACTGGCTAACAGTTGAAACTCCTCAGCTCTAGTCTCCCCCTGGGGGAAAGAGCTGAAGTGGACCAGCTGCAGCTTCTCAATCCCGCAAATGGATTTCGCCTTGGCACAATCCTGCAGGAGTTGCTACCTGCGGAGCACCTCCCAGGCTGGAGGCTGCTAGAGGGGCTTCTCTCCCCTGAGAGCAACGGCCCAGTCAGCTGTTGGCTTATCTCCTGCCCTTGATGGTGGGGCCTTGGCGTTATCATCAGGACCAGCTTGCACTGTGGCTCCAGTGGGCGGCCTGGCAGGAAGCACAGGCCAGATGGAGGGAGGCCAGTCAGGCTCTGCATCCTTCCTCCTGCCACATCAGCCCTGGAGGTGACAGCTGGAAGGAGAGCTGATGCTCCTCCACCTACTGCAGAAGGTCTCAGTGTGCCCCATATATACACTCCTTTCTCTTCCCATCTTGTCATTAGAAGTGTCAGATTCGGAGAAAGGGGCTCCGACATGTGATTTGATTTTCATGGCCAGAGCCACAAAAATAAATTTTATTTTTTCCCTTTGCCTAAGAAGATATTTTCTTTTTATGTGCTGGGAAGGAAAGGCATTTGGGAGTCTTGAGCTCTCAGGCTTTTGAGGAACAGGCAGATACCTACCCTGTCTGGTCTTGAGCCTGGAATTGCTTTGAAGCAAACAGCTGAGTCTTAGATTCGCTGCTGTGCACCCTGGTTTGCCCATGCCTTGTAATTGTGCATGTGCATGAACTCTCTTGCATGTGCACATGGTTCTTTTCCCCTCCCCTCAGGGCCATCTCTGCTTGTTCGCTCCTGCCCGTTCCCCC